TCATTGAAATGTGATGATTAGTACTGAGATATCAGTGGAAAAACCGAAAATTGATAATCATTATGCAAATTAGGTAATTAGTATCCACGGATTATTACCAAAAACTAATCGAAAACCTAGCATTTAGTTCAGAGCATCTAGTGTACCAAGTTTCATCAAAATCCAATGAGTGGTTGTTTAGATATCAGTGGAACAGTCATGGAACCACTAAAAAATAGCTAATTTATCATGCAAATTAGGTAATTAATATGCACGGATTTTTACCAAAAATTAATCAAATCTGCGCATATGTTCAGAGCATCTATTTACCAAGTTTCATCAAAATCCAATGAGTGGTTCTTTAGATATCAGTGGAACAGTCATAGAACAGCTAAAAATTAGCTAATTATCATGCAAATTAGGTAATTAACGAGCATGGATTTTTACCAAAACCTAATCAAATCTGCGCATTGGCCCAGAGCATCTATGCACCAAGTTTCATCAAAAACCGATGTATGGTTCTTGAGATAGCAGTGGAACAGTCGGACACACATACACACACACACACATACACACATACACACATACACACATACACACATACACACACACATACAGACACACTAACTGCAAAGACTCCCATTTTGTGCTTCGCACATGGGAGTCAAAAAGGTATGTACATGTATTAAAGTAGCTACTGGTTCAAGAACAGCTTCATGTTATAGTTACAAAAACATTTTGACAGGGAAATCAGTATTCAGTATTAAGACAGTAAAATAACTAGTTGAACAAAACTACTGTGGAATACTTTATTTTTGCTTGGAATTAAGCTATTTTCACTGAAGGAATGATTCAGTGAAAATAAAATCCAGCGAATATACCTTTTTTCCTATATTTTAAATTCAACTTCTCAAAAATCAGTGAAAATAAATTCCATACAAAATGCCCAAACAGTCTATTCAGCGAAAATTAACTCCAGCTTAAAATAAAATATTTCACAGTTAGTTTAATTTTTCACTGCAGACTTGTAGAGATGTAAATGTCTAGATTTTTAGTTGATTGTAATCTGTGAAAGACAGACTACCCAGTATAATATTAAAACCTTTTTTTACTTATTATCAATTTCATTCATTGCACTCTCGTTAACACACAGCCTGCAGAAGCCACACAATAAAATCAATGGGAAGAGTCAGAAGGCAATGTGGTAATCAGCAGCATTGGTCATGACTACAAGATAGTAAAAACAGACAGCACTAGAGAAAGCATGAAACAGATTAAAATATGGACAAGATATATTTTCAACCCCACATGCATTACTTTGTTGGGACTTTTCAGTTATTTGTTATGAATCCCAGGCAAATATACTACAATGTAATAGACACTGCTTAATTATTTCAATATTATAAATATGTCTATTGCAATTCTAGTTTATGATTATGAATTTATTTGTCTGAAATAAAACAACTTAATGTATAATCATGGAGTAACAATGACGTAACTCATATCAATGCTTAGAGGATTTCACAGTTCTGGTGAGAAAAGTGAAACAGCAGCATATTTAAAATGGCGATTTAAACAATTTTTCTCCAACTATATGACAAACCTTTGCAACAAGAATCATGTTTTCTTGTTTTATTCTGAATACATCATTTTCATGCTGTAATCGCATCTCTTCCAAGTCCCTCTCATGTTGCCGCTGAAGAGACAAAATCTCAGCTCTCAATTTCTGATTCTGTCTGCGCTCTTCTTTCCACTGGCCTTGCCAGTCTTGTACCTCTGACAACAGCGCCCTCTCACGAGATAACTGTTGTATTTGTGAGTCCAACGGCTTCTTGATTATTGTCTCTTCTTCACTCTGTGAAAAGAAAGATTATATAATGTTATTATACATCTATATACTGCCCTCTACCTTACTAAGAAAGGTAATTTCCAAGTAACAAACATACAGTATAGTTCTTCAAGCCATGAATTCAGTCATTTTGAGTACACCCATTAGTGGCCTGGTGAATAGTTACCATGGGAACAAGCATGCATGTATAAAATAATTTTTGTTTTCCATGTATAAAATAATTCTCATTTTCCCTAACTTTTTGCTTCATGTTTTGTACACATTAGCTTGCGATGATGAATACTTATAATTTTATCTATCAAGAATACTGCAAAGTATGCATTCAGTTTGCATACATGACAGTTTTAGGTTGGTAAACTTTTTGACATTTACAAAAACAGTCCAGCTTTGGTAGGTACATTTATATTGGCAAAAACAATAATAAATCAAAGAAAGCTTAGAAAGAACTCCCGTGTGCTGAGAGTATTGAAGACACATTAAAAATTAATTCAAAATTACTTGTACTTGAGATATTGATGGAATAGCTGAAAACTAATTATGTAAATCAGGTAACTGATTTGAGTGTAAAACTAATAAGGCCTGCGTAATGTAATATCTATGTACCAAGTTTCATTGAAATGTGATTAGAACAAAAAAACTATGAATTATTATTAGAGAATTAATATGAACAAATTTCAACCCAAAATTAATCAGGACTGTCTATTGTCCTAAAGCATTTATGTACCAAATTTTATTCAAATGTGATGATCAGTAATTGAGATATCAGTGTTAATTATTTTAATTAGGTGATTAATAAGCATAAATATTTACCAAAAACTAATTGGGTCTCTGCTTAGTCCTAGGTTCATTGAAATGTGATGATGAATACTCTATAAAAGTTTCATTGAAATCCAATTAGTGGTTCTTCATATATCAGTGGAACATTCATGAAAAAAAAAACTAATTATGCAAATTAGGTAATTAATATGCACAAATATTTACCCCAAAACTAATCAGGTCTCTACACAGTCCTTAAGTAACTATGTACCAAGTTTCATTGAAATGTGATGATTACTACTTGAAATATCAAAAGCTGAAAATTAATTAATTATGCAAATTAGCTAATTAATATGTACTGATATTACACTCAAAACTATCAGGTCTGTGGAGTGTCCTATGACATCTATGTACCAAGTTTCATTGAAATGTGATGATTACTACTTGAAATATCAAAAGCTGAAAATTAATTAATTATGCAAATTAGGTAATTAATATGTACTGATATTACCCTAAAAACTATCAGGTCTGTGCAGTGTTCTATGATATCTATGTACCAAGTTTTATTGAAATGTGATGATTACTACTTGAAATATCAAAAGCTGAAAATTAATTAATTATGCAAATTAGGTAATTAATATGTACTGATATTACCCTAAAAACTATCAGGTCTGTGCAGTGTTCTATGATATCTATGTACCAAGTTTTATTGAAATATGATGATTAGTACTCGAGATATCAGTGGAAAAGCAAAAAATTGATCAATCATTATGCAAATTAGGTGATTAATATTGCACAGATTTTTACCCAAAACTAATCAAATCTGCACATTAGTTCAGAGCATCTATGTGCCAAGTTTCATCAAAATCCAATGAGTAGTTCTTTAGATATCAGTGGAACAGTCATGGAAGAGCTAAAAATCAGCTAATTATCATGCAAATTAGGTAATTAAGATGCATGGCTTTTTACCAAAACCTAATCAAATCTGCGCATTGGCCCAGAGCATCTATGCACCAAGTTTCATCAAAAAACGATGTATGGTTCTTCAGATAGCAGTGGAACAGACACACACACACACTCACACACAGACACACAGACAGACACACTAACTGCAAAGACTCTTTTTGTGCTTCGCACACAGGAGTCAATAACCTACAGTGCCGTCCAGGATGATTCTACACAGGATACTGTGCACATCACTTCACTGCAAAATTGAATGCTTAAAGCGGAAATACTCAGATGATAATAACAAATTATTTCAAGTCAATACATTCTTCATGTAAAGAGCCCTATTTGTATTAAATTTTTATTTTAATATATCTTCCATAACACCAGATATGTTGCATAATTTTTCGTTCCCCAATTTAACGTACAAATTTTGGGTTGATGAAGCCCAATACTGCACAGAAATAATGTCATGTATCGGTAATTTCCAAATAAGGAGAATAGTGTTTTTTTTTTTCTATTCAATGTATCCTGGCATAAATTTAATACTTACTGGGATATGTTTCAATTTATCACTACTTTTATCGGCAGCAAAATGATGTTTAATATACTGTGCAAACGATTCTACTGATGCTACCAGCTGTGTATCCTTAGGTTTGGGTTCTAGTGAGATAGTCTCAGTGCCTGCAAGATAAAGTTATGAAAATAAGTCTTTTACAAAGCTGTACACATGGTCGGTAACAGTAGTTTTCCCACCCGCCACAAATTAACCAATTACTGATAATCCCTCCTGTAATTAGCCAATCAGCATGCTCGTATTTATACTGACCTTTGATCTTGCGTTGTGTTGTATCAGCCGGTGACCAACCTTTCTTGGTACCGTAATCTGAACTTTTCACATGTTTGTATTTGTCTTTCTGAACATCTCTTTTCACTTCTTTCTTTTTTGATTCTTTCTTGGCAGCATCTTTCCTAACTGAATATTCAATTATGAAAAAAAGTGTTATTCAGAATTGCATGGAGATTACATTAAAGTGTGATCATCACTGCACAGTATGCACTCACATTTTCCGGAAAAAACTTTCACATTGAATACCATCCCATATCAATTGTAATGTGGTGCGGTGACCACAGCCCTTCAACCTTTTCACCACTAGTTCCCTCTTTTGATTACAAATTCACAAAACAATCCATTTATGGTCCGCACTTTCCTTCAGAAAGACAGAAATAGCCAAATTTTTTGAGTAAAAACTGAAAACTGACCAAAATTTTATTAGTTGGCTCCAAAATTAGGGTTCATTTCCAAAAATATTGAAGAATAAAAATTTGGCTGAGAAAGTCTGGTGGTGAAAAGGTTAAAGATGCATTCGCAAATTATACTTGGAGATGAACAGCAAACATGCTTGACTTATTTTTTTGTGTTTAGATTGTTCTGAAAGCGATATTTCACATATTTGCAAACTTGGAGCGCAACATTGGTATCTGTAGAGAATCCTGTTTTACACATAACCGCTCAGGATTAAGTTGGAGATTGAAAACACAATATTTTGTGTACCTGAGATTCATGGTTCTTCCAGAGTAAATTTCTCTGTAATAAAATACACTAATTTACAGTAATAATTCAAAGGTACATCCACATAGTATTAGCAAAATTTACCTTGTTTAGTTGGTATTTTAGTAGCTTTTGATCTACCAGCACTTGGAGGTAGTTTTATTGTTCGATTGTTTGGTTTCTTTACTTTATCCTAGGAAAACAGAACGTATTCAGTGAGTATCATAATTGGAGTAAAGAAATAACAAACAGGTTGCTATAAATCTAATAGTCAATTTACATTACAATGGCAAACAAATTAACAGTGTAAATACGAGTGTCTGCAATTACATGGTGGAATCCCACAGATTGATGCAAGATGATTCTTTTTGGCAATGTTTTGTATACTATTTTGTTTTGCATTGAAATCATAGACCACGTAGCAAACAGGACACCATTTTTGAGTGCCCTACGAAATGGCTCCTTAAGCACAGTTCTTGCTTGAAAGTTGAAAGTTTTAAACTTCCATGCAAGTCTTCAAAATAACTGTCAATCACTAGTTTTATCAAATCAATGTTCTAATCTAAACTGTTGGTAATAAAACATCTTTCTAATGCAGACAATGCAAACAAAGCATGGGCCATTCAGAAAATATTTCCCACAATGCATTGGTGCAATCCCAGTGATTACAGAGCTGTGCCTCAAATCCTTTTTATCACATCCCAAATTCTCTTATGATTTTCTGTACTTTTTTCAGAACACCATGTTGAACTTGAACAAAACAGAAGGGGGTATACTGAACAGTGATTTTGAAATTAAATTTGAAGATTATTTTTAGGAAGATAAGTAGATTTTGCACATGAATACATATATTTTGTGAAGAGGACAAAAGTTGACAAGGGTAGAAAAAAGGTCAAGGGGGATTACATCGCAGATAAATACGTACATGAATAATAATAAACAAAAGATTGGTGTGCATTCAATACACACAATAGGATTAGACATTACACATGCCAGCGACACCTGAGGGTCAAGTTTTCCAAATGATTATCTTGGTAAACTTTAAGTACCACCAAAAGTGCCAAAGGAATTTTTTGGTTTGCATACACAAGAAGCTTTCCTCTTTATAGAATAAATTTGGTTTCCAGATTAAATGTGGAAAGCATACTGTTTATAAAGTTTTAGAAATTATATTTGAATACAAAATAAAAGGCAAATACAAAGCGCACACAACATAGACAACAGGGGATTAAATAAACACTACTGGTACTGTAGGCATGCACATGTATGAGACTTTTTGTGTCACAGATGTACAAATGTGGTACCTCCATTTGTATACTCAGGGGTTTCACAAATGCATTTAATAGCAGGCCGCCATCATCCTGTTACAACAAGCCAAAAAAAATGAAAAGGCTCTCGGCAGTGCGACCGGCTTGTAGCAGGCCATATGGCAGGTGGCCGGCTCTTAATGAAACCCCTGATACTGTAGTTATCAACTGAAATAACATCTTAAAATCTGTATTAGAAGCTGCGGCTTCTATTAAAATGGTACAATGCAACAGAAGGGATGCAGCTTCAATTAGAGCATCTACATGTGTGAGAAATTGTGAATGTTTGGTAATCAATTGCTCAAAATGAATGGGTGCGACTCATATTAGAGATGCGGCTTCTAATACAGATTTTACGATAGTACCGGATTCTGCCGTAAATTCGCCCATCCGAAAGATCGCCCTGGGCGGTTTCATGGCTGGTGGGCCCTTATTTGGGGTTAAAATGTTCAAAAAATTATCATCAAATATTTTTAGGGGGCTTATATTTTCATTGAAAAATCCACCTACGCCGACTTTCAACACCGGCAGTTGGACCACCCAAAACTAAAATTGTATACATTTTTTCCTAGCTGGATTAATAAGTAGACAGCGCATCTTTCTCCAATAAAATCGCATTAACGAACATCGCGCGCCAAATACAATTATTTTGTTTAATTTTATTAGTAACGAAAGTATATTCTAAAAGAAGTTTCAAATAGCAACGAACACAACTGCATTGCTTAGTAGCGAATGATCGTGGTAGCGCAATCCGGTCATGCTGTGTTTTACAATTGTTGATTATTACCTAGTAATGATTCTAATAACGTGCAAAAAATAAATTCGTTGAATTGTTATGAAATGCAAATAAATTTCAACTTATTTCATGGTAAGCGAATGATTCCGATCGCATTTTTAACGCTTGATGCTCTAGAAATGAATATCCGCCATGTTATGACCTGACATGACAGGTCAAATCGATAATTAACCAATGAAAACAATGGATGATGCCAACGTGTTCAAATTACCATTATAATACATTTAAATATGTTAATGTTATTGAACCCAGCATGGAAGAGATTTGCCGATGTTGTTGTACGATCTTTTGGCTTGGATTTTGATGGGAAAGCGGCATGATTTGTTTTTAAATAAAAAAATAGTTGTTTTCAAAAGATAAACTGAGCATTTGAAGAATAATTTAACATTATTTACAGCGATAACAACTCATTGTCGAAACGAAGCTAACCCCTTCACGCTAGTCACAATACACATCAATACTCTTGATTTGACTACGGCGAAACTTTTAGGCATCAGAAAAGATTAAAATAGTACTTTAAAAAACTGCCGAAAAAATTGCCCTAGGCGGTTTCTTGGTCCCAATTTATTTTTTCTAAAAACCCGAACTGCCGTTTAACAGCCCTGGGCGAATTTACGGCAGAATCCGGTAGTAATTATTGTTACTCAGTCTGAGATTGCCATGTCACTGTGATAAACATAATACAATCATATCTTAACATATTAAATAAACACACAAACAATTCTGATGTTGCCATGATACATTCCCATGACGCACTTGTGTAATCCAGGAGAGTACTATTATTAAAAATCTATTTATGATAACTATATTCAATGAGCATTTTAGAGTAAATTATATTATTAATTTAGAAAATAAAAAAACCATACACAAAAACTAACATTGGATTGTACTAAGTGCTCATGGGTAATTAACTCTGCCTCTGTCCACTCAGTAAATGAATGCTTATTATGCTCGCTGTGATTGACAGGCATTTTGCATACATTAGCCGCCATTTTAAACTTGTGATTTTTACCTGTCCAACCACACGAGTGTAATTGCTAGAATACATACTCATGCCCCCGTAGAAATATATTTGGAATCACAACTTGATCTCTAAACACCGTACATGGCACATTTCCCGGAGCTCCCGCCACGATGGTTGGTTCAGATTAGCATACTAATTGCGGTAGACATTTTGCCCCCATTTATAGTATCGGTTCTCATTTAAACACACACACACATGAACATTGTCATTGTGACAAACCAAAAAAACCCAAAAAACAATGGAATGCACTCAATACTATGGTATTGTTACATGTATGTGTCGGAAAACATCTTACTTCAGTGAGAGATACAATCCTTGGGTCGACAGAATGTGAATCAACACTTTCCCCATAAGCTGAACTTCGATTAACTCGGACAGCAGGAACAGGAGTCAGGTCAAATCCACGGCTATCATCAACGGCAGGTGACAAATCAAAACCGCGATTTTGTTCTGCTTCAGGTGCAGGCATCAAGTCAAACCCTCTAGACTCATTAGCAGAGGTGACATCAAACTGGTTAGACGGCATCAGATCAAAACCTCTACTCTCTACTATGACACCACTTCTGTTTTTGTGTGTACTAACAGTGGTTCTAGTCATTCCGTGTTGACCAAATTCACTGTCCTTATCTGTGTCCTGGCTAGTTTTAGCAAAGTCTGTAGTGTCTCTGGTTGATTCGTAATCTCTGTAGTCCATGCTCTCATTGTTTGCATCTCTCTTCTCATCTTGCAGCCTGCTGTAAGCAGATTCCTGAGCCTCCCTAATGTCTACATTAGAATAGAAAACAACAGAAATAATCAAATGTTGATATTATAACTGTTATTAATTGAAAGGCAGTGGTCACTGAGCCGTATTGTGTTTGATACAGGTTCTAAGGCAAAGTATATAATACAATCATGCAAAATACATTGTCTACATAAAATGTTAACACAACCACCTTTAGGGATGGACTCGCATTGTCGCAGCAGCTCATAAAACCTTTCCAAACAAAATTGTCCAAAATAACCAACAGCTTCAATATGTATAATGCTACACTTCAGTTATTAATAGGATAGTTTTGAAATCATGTATACCAGCGTCCACTGTTAGTCGTGTGTGGTTGACATGTGACCTGGCAGATTTTGCTATGCTGCTACATGTATGATGTTGATATTTCACAGAAACGTTTACACAGTTTGTTCGTCCCCACTGCTGTGTAATCATGTTTCCATGACATCAACAAGTGCAAAATCAAAATTCTGGAAATAAAATAAGCTAAAAACTCCGCAAAAAAAAAAATGAAAAAAATGGGCCAAACCTTTTATTTTTCTTGTGTCACAAATTCATTTTCATAATTGTGTTTTTATTGATTAATAGTATGATAAATAATTCAAGTCATATAAAATCCTTATAAAAGGATGCAATATGCTTATTCCAAAAGGTGGTTGTATCATCAATTTTCATCATTTATGCTTTTCACAAATTTCAATCAACATTTTGTGTATCAGTAGGATTACTAAGAATGATATGTACTACAGACACAGTATTAAACTTCATGACATACATACCTGATGACGTTTCTTCTAGATTTAACGTTTGTGATGATGCCACTTCATGCAGTGCACGTTGCAATGCTTCCATCTCAGTAGCTGTACCAGCATTCAACAGTCCTGAACAAATCACATAAGAGAACTTGTATTAATAGGATTTAAACTATCATGTGCTTTACTAAACATGTTACTTGTCTTTTTCAATTCACCTACCATGCAATTGCACATATTCACAGCATAACTTACTAGTAGTCAGGAAATCAGACCTTTAGTTACCGATAAACAATGTTTTGTCAATTTCATTTGCTAAAATGATGGGTTGCTATTTCATTACATTTTTACAGTATTTTTTGTTACTGATATAGAAGATCTTGTTTCAGTTCTGCATAAATTTTAGGAGAATGATATACATAGACATGACACTGTTACTCACTTGTAGCTCTCTTCTTCAAATTCAGAAAAAATCAACCCTGTTCTCTGATGTTACAGTCATCATTGAATCTCTTTAACTTTTATACAGTAATGCATATTTCTGTAATTTCTACTCACCTCGACTCTCATTACTTGTGCCGGGTATCTTCACTGTTCCAAGACTTGAATCCAATGAATCCAGCAAAGATACTACAAAAAGGAAAAAATCATCAATACACCATGATCCTATATTATCAAAAGGGGTAATTCATTTAACCTGTGGATTATCTCAAGTGAACTGCTGGGTTATCAAGTTACCAAGCACCATTTATTGATTTATACAAATAATTGAACATCAAAAAAAAAAAATTAGACCAGGATTATCTACAGTACAACTGCAAAGAAATAGCATTCTGACTGGTATACACCTTACACTAAAAACAACAGAATTCACTCATCTGTAAAATACTGTAAGGAAGTGTTCGAAAGTGTTATGAACATGTTTGAATGTTTTCCTTTATTTGGAAAATGTTTGACACTTTTATTTCACATTTGAACACTTTATTTAGTTTATATCCAATGCAGAAGCACTATAGCGCATGGTGGGAATAGATTCCTGCCACTGAACGCTAACATCTTTTCGCGGCCATTTCGGGAGAAGTTATATAAGAATAAGGTTATCACAAGAATACCGCAAAGTATGCACTCAGGCAGTACGGAAATGTATTGACATTTGCTATGCAACGGTCAATACGATTGCCTTACTGCTCTCATGCATGCTCTGCATAGTAATACATTGTTTTTCATGCACTGTAATACAGTGCTGAAAAGTACTCAGCAACAATGACAAAACAATAGACATACCTTTAGCAAGCATTCCTCCGGAACCTGATTTACTCCCTCCCCCTGCTCCTCCCTGTGATAAACATAAACATGTACATGTTAATCTACTATTCGTTTTTTGGTATTACACAATAAATTGAGTTACTCAGTCACTATTGTAGAATACTTTATTTTAGCTGGAATTAATTTTCGCTGAAAAGACTTTTTGGGTGTTTTGTGTGGAATTTATTTTGTTGAATGCAAAATATATGAAAAAAAGGTATATTCACTGGATTTTATTTTTACTGAATCATTTCTTCAGCGAAAATAGCAAAAATAAATTCCAAGCGAAATAAAGTATTTTACAGTATTAAAATTAAAACTATTACATTTGTACTACTACATGTATTAAACTATTCTTACACTATTTGCTTCAATTGCTGTATAACGATAACTATCAGAACTATTATGTCAAAACAACAAATTCAAGTCAGTATTAAAGTCATTTTTAAATTAATTCAGCTTTGCTCACTTTCTCTTCAGGAGGAGTATTATCAACATGAAGAATAATTGCGTTTTTATGAAAATTCAGAATACTATACTGAATCATGCCTATATGACCTATTATGACCTAAGATACATCTATGCCTTAGACATGCTCTACTAATTGAGCAAATTTTCAACTTCTTTCCATCACATACATTGTCATTGTGAAATAATCCTCAGGGGGGACATGCCTCAGACAAAAGAAGCGCAGTCCAAGAATGCTACAGTTTCACTCAATGGAATTTAATGGAACCTAATGTCTCAGGCAATATACATGTATAAAGAAGCAATGGTTCTTACTTTTGATAATTGTTCCCCAGTCTTTTTTTCTTCTACAGTTGGTTGACTTTCACTCTGTGTTTCAACATCTTCATCTTTCTCTTCAATCCTGAAATGAAAAAACGTTTACAAGAGTTACATACAATGGTCTAGGTCTATAGTTTTACCGGGTAATCAATCAAACATGCCCCAAGTCACCTATACAGTCAACTTTTTGGATATTCCATTAGGACTCAGGAACTTTACAAAATCAGGCCTGTAAAAGTTTTTAATTAGGTTTTTGAAGTTAAGGTAACATGTTTCTATTGTGTTTCTTGATGGAATATACTGGTAGTATTTAAGTTTACATACCCAGCCAACACCCTACTGTCTTGCAAAGTTCCGGACAACTCTGTTTCTCGGTTAAGTCTTGCAAAGTCAATATTTCGAGTGCCTTCTTTCTGTTCTAAGTCTTTGAAAAACCTTTCCTTGTCAGCAATTTCTTCTAAAGTGTCTACCCCAGGTCCAGGACTTGGTCCAGGACTGGGTCCCATATCTAGTGGGGAGGAAAATATCAGTAAACTGGTTAGAATACCGGGTACAAACAAATGTATGTGACAAAGAAATGACTGACAGGGTATGGTTACCTCTTAACAGAGGAGTTCACCATTTTTGATCGCAGTTAAAGTAAAACTTGAACTGAACATATTTCAGAGTTCCTTGCTCATAAAACATATTCAAACTGTTTATCCGTTAAGAAATTATACATATTATATTTTTTTAGCTTAATAAGATGTATTTTCTCAAACTCGAGTAGCCTACCTAGTTTCAAATTGCAGTAATAAAGTTGATTCAACTTCCATACATATCTGCATATCTTTATGAAGTTGTTATTAATTATTTGCACATCTTTATTAATAAACATGCACATCGTCATGTATGTGGTAAAATGACAGTTATACATGCCAGAATCTGCACAATGAAAAACCCCATTATGCAAAACAGTTTCAAATCCTGCTTTGGAACCAACATTTGTTAAGAGTTGTCATATGAATTTAGAAGAACTTAGATCAGATTAAACTTAAAGAGAGGGGTGTTTGTTGCAAACCAATCCTACAGGGACTACTTTGCATCACATTTCAAATAATTAAGAATTCTGTATTAGAATCAAAAATTTTGTATGCAATTTGGTTGACTTGATGGAGCCCTATGATGCTCAAATTAGTTGAATTGATGGTAATTCTCAGTAATTTGAAGGTATTTACAAACAAATTATGGCCTTGATATCTTGTGAATACCAGTAATGCTGCATTGGTATATGACACTTCATACATCGAAAGCTGTAAACAAATTATATCCAATAATTCAAATGTAATATGAGAATATTTATATTTACCTGTTGATGTCATTGTGTCATCCAACTCACTGGAAAGTCTACAGACAGGAATACATGTATAAATCATTAGTTTTGAAAGGAAAATAGAACCAGCTAGAGATAGGAACCAATGGTGCATGGAATGAAGAAATTACTATGATAGAAAACAGGAATACGCACAACAGAATATTTATTATGAAATACTTTTTTGACAAAGGTGGTTATTGTTTTTACTGTATGCTTTAAATGTGAATATTATCTCAAATAAAGTAATTAATATACTGACAATATGATAAGAAAAACACTATAGACAGAAGAAAGAATTAAAGATATACTAACCCAAGAGGAACTCTGTCATTACTCTTTACACCGGATGCATTCGGCAAACCTGAAAATGAAATACATTGATTACATGTGTCATCATGTGTCATCAACAGTTACAATGATTTAAAAATACACAACTAGAAATGGTAGTTTCATCATAGAAAGTATCTGAATATTGCAGCTACATTTACATGCAATAGGATCAATTCAAAGCATATCTAAAATAGAATCACACTTAAATCCAAAACTGCATTCACTGTATGTCCTCTTGTTTACATAAGTGCTACTACCGAAGGTAATACCATACTTGTTCTATTAGTAGCACATGTGCTTTATTAAATTACAGGCGTGTTTCTATGGTCAAAATAAGTAATATTTTAATGATTCTGTAAACACAATTTATGGTTTTATATGTGCTTTTATTGGTGATGCATCCTAATAGAACAATATGCTTAATGTTTAAATAAGAAATTCACTGCTTCTAATTTCAACACTTTCTTTTCACTGAATACAGCATTTCAGTGTTTTTCATTTATGTAATTTATTATAAATAATTCTTGAAAAATTCACTTGAAACTGTATAGTAAAATGGACTATGCGATTGGCAAATAGTAGGTCATAAAAAAACAAAAAGATAAATTTGCAATGTGGTAACAAAGTAAATCAATAATAAAGTACCTGCGATGTGGGGGTCTTCTAGGCTGTCTTTACTCATTCCAACCTCGTCTCGTAAACCCGGCTATAATTAAAAATAAAACCTAATTAATCTACATACATCTACATGTACAGATCAAAAACTTTGTAATATGACCATTGACTGTAAATGGCCACAGATTTTTTTTTTCTGTCTAGGAAACAATTTTTAACAATAAATAATGAAATGGTGGATGACATGAATTACACTACATGCCTGTTTTTGTGGTGATTCTCGATTGTGCTCTTTCTCTTTGCTATCAAACTTTAATTCTGGTTCTGGTTCAGTTTTCTTGGGTTCATCC